AGGTACATTTTACACACTTAGGTTGTGGCTTAGCGATGAGTGCGTTCATACTGTCAAGAAACAGGTACATTTTACACACAAGAAACATTTAGCGTGGACCCCGTCCTGTTCGTTATAGCGGCGTTCCACTGTATTTCAACAGGGCAAAGTAATCTGAGAACAAATCACCTAACGTTATACCTTATTCCTGCAGTGATAAGGCCAATGTCAGATGCATACATGTATTGGTGTCCTGGAATGACCCAAGGCCTTGTCCATTTTAAGCATGCGCTGTCTGAGTACCAAACTCGCTCATCGGCTAATAAAAATCTTCTTGTGTATTGACTCAACATTTTTAAACACATACCACACATGAACATCTACTGCGGTCTTCTTTTCTCCCTAGGTATCCAATGATCTTGCCAAGATGGCACCCACGGTGATAGCATTGTGTCTACCCATTGTGTACTACTTTGTCTTACCCCTGATGTAAGTTTCTTATTTCAGATCTCAGCATTCAACCCGTTCAAAGTTTTTTAAAATAAGAAATATTCCGAGTATGATGTCATAATGATCTTTCCAGCAATATCATTTTTTGGTTATTTTTTTATTCTGCTCATGCATTTACTTGTGCATATTTTTTAAGTGCACGATTTTTTCCCCCACAATGTGAGTGTTTCCTATTGCCTGTGTTTTTTTTCCCCTGTCGTCAGGTTTCTTTATCCCACAGTGTTCTTATCTAATCAGTTTCTGTCACGTGACAAGCTTCTCCGGTACTATCTGAAATCCTACCGACAGAGGGCGGCGTTGTATCCCACTGTCCTGGAATTGTTGTCTGCGAAAGCCGGCAGGATTCAAAACAAAGAAGACAGTGACTCCATACGGACAGTTCTAGACAGGGTAATGACTACCTGCTTGCATTGACATGTACATGAAATGCTCATTTCAGATGTGACTGCATGATATTTCTGCTGCAGGGTGGTGAATCTCAATTGAGCATTGAGCTCACCGCCAAAAATTGAGCTGTTTTTGTCAGGGGAAAGCAATGGAAAATAAATATTTCAATGTTCCATGCAAATAAGGAAAAAATCCAGATTGTGGTAATAATAGGAAGTATGTGGTTCATGCTTTGCTCTGCTTTGTTGAAATCACTCCATTTTACTGAATCATGGAAGGTTTTATTTTCTCTGGCAAAAACAAAGTCTTACGAATCATAGTCACCCTTGTAGTCATGAACTGTCGTGTGGAAATCATTTTTGTCTTTTGTAGCATTTCTGCTAACATCCTCTTTGTCTTTTTTCCTCAGCTACAATCTGAAAAATCAGTTACTGTGCAACAAGCCCTGCAGGCCAGGAATGCCTTCCTCGCTTACAGATTTGGTAATCTTTCAAGGCAACATCTGGTAAATTCTCTGTTCTTTCCATCGTAAGGATTATTTTTCATTCCTTGATGACAACCCTGCATAATGCAGCAAGGTGTAGTTGAAACTAGGGGACTTGGTTGAATTGGCCAGTCAATGGCAGTAGCGTAGCATAGGGGCCAATTTTGTAGACCTGCTAAGCTTTGTATTTTTGCTTAGCAAATAGGTCACCGGCCCCAAAAGTCATTGGCCCCAAAAGTCATTGTATGCTTGTCATTTACCACTGGTGCCAAGTTTTTGTTTGGTTTAACACATAAATTTGCACAGATTTTCTGCTTAGAAGGTCTATGAGTTCTGGTCTGAAAGAGCGGGACCTGGACTCAGTTACCTGCATGGCCATTGTGTGCTGGAGGGCCCAGTTTTATGGCACTGCTCAACAGCAGAAAAATTGTGCTGACAAGTACAATTTCATGACATTTCATGAGATTTCCATTGTTGTGGCATTTTTTTCAAGTAATTTTTTTTTCACAGAGGTGAGCGTGTCTTATGCTGTGCTTGCTGCTTAGTGCAGAGCCTCTGTTAGTGTAGAATCATGTTTTTAGTAGTGCCAAGATAATCAGCCCAGTTGTGAGTGGCCGTAGCATTTCCCAAAGATTTGCAAATATCTCATAAACTTCCGCAGATTCATTTTGTCATCTCTGTCATTTGGTGCTCACGTTCTGTATCATAGGACACTGGCTGCCGTGTTTAGTCCAGATCATGATCGCGCTCCCCCCTTTATGTTCTCTTTCCAGAAATATCTTTGCAACCTGTGCTCACTTCGCACCATGTTTATGCCAGGCTTTCTGCTGCGTAGAAAACTGACCAAGAACATGGCCCTAATCCAAGCGATGGACCACTCCATCCTGAAAGAGGGCGTCTCAACCCTAGACCACTTGGAAGTAGAGAAAGTAGGATATCGAAATTAAATTTCAATGTTTAGATTTTTCCTTTAATGTGACATCAGCACTGCAGGTGTAGCCCTCTTTTGTTATCCACTTCAAGCAGAAGTGCCCCCTCATTGGTTGGAAAGAGCCGCGTTGGTTGGGAGTGTTCATTTTGTTGGTAGTGATGCGACCGTGACTCATGCACTTCCTAGTTGTTCGTGAACCAGCAAAGTTCAGTTCCGAATAAAGGAGCCTCCGTTATGAAGAAAATAGCCCCTTCTTTTGGTCCAGCTCGGGGCCCATTAGCATCACCGAAATGCCACCTTGCGCATGATTGGCATCACAGAGGTACAGTGCATGCAAAAGGGCACAGTTCATTTCTGCTAGCTCATATATCATGCTCAACAGGAAAGCTTACAGCTACTGAAAAAAAACACGGCTACCATGCTATCCATTTCTTTCAGAGTAAAGGTCAACTTTGTGTTTTCGTAGTAGTTAGGTTGAATTGACTCAGCTGTACTAGGCTGTGATTTAATTTCTGTTGTATGTTCTCACAGCTTTGCTACGAGAGGGGCCTGAACGTTGTACACTCAGACAAGAGAGAGTTGGAGGCTTGGCTAAGTCTGTGGTTAGAATTATCAGCAAAGACCACTGGTGAGTCTTGGATTGAGATGTAGACAAGTGAGATCCTGAATGAAGTGCTTCCATTCAGGAGAGACTTTCTCAAGTCATTTCACCGATGTCACAGTGTTGCAGTCAAGTACTTTTCAAGTACCAAGGTTCTCTGCCAAATCTTGAGCAGGGTAAGAGGGAATTTGAAATTTGATAGTATATGCACAAAGGTAAGATGACAAACCAAATTTAAGACTTCAGACCCTCCCATTTTTTGAAATTTAAGTTTTAAGGAGAAAAGTACTCGGAAAGTACTTGGCGAAGTACTTTTTTGGAGTACTTTTGTCCAAAAAACGTAATTTTTATTAAACAGTGATGGTCGGAAGTTACCATTTTACTTTGTAGTCTCATTTTTGTGCATGTACCACAAAATGCCCATGTACTTCAGCTTTTTTCCCTCCTAACTAGTTAAATATTTGGCAGAGAACTTAGTACTTGAAAGTACTTGACAACAACACACTAACATATCACAGTGGAGAATTTGAGTGGGTTCACTTCGAATTCCTGTTCTGTTGCATCGTCCAAAAAACTTCATAAATGTGTGGACATGTAGGTGCGCATGCCCATTGGAGAAGAAAGGCCGTGCAACATAAGCTGAACCAAGAAACTCGCTGGAGAGGGATTTCAACCTTGGAACATTTTTTAGATTGCCTGTCACATTTGAATGATATAGGAAACTATTGAACTCATTTCTGATCAGCCACATTTTCAAAGGCTTAGTGCATTGTTGGGTGACTTCAGAAGCGGTTGGTTTTGTTTGAATTTTGAGGTTTCATGGTCATGCAGCTTAGACATTTAGACAGCTTGTTAATGTCGTGCTATGCACTGCAATAACATTTAGAAATAAGTAAGTTTGTTTTTGCTCTTTGACTCATTTTAGTCAGAATAGCCGAGCCTAACAGTGTCATTTTAAAAAAGCATGATGTTTGTCTCTGTTGAACTTTGTTGATATTTTTGTCTCCATTGTTTCAGACGACGACCGGTCTTTTATAGCACACTCTGTGGTACTGCTAGCCATGGGCCACCCTTCTTGTCAGCGACTGCTGGATATACCCAGCCAGACAACTCCCGCTGGTGAAGAACTCAAGAAAGATTAACGTTGGCCCCTGCTGTAGACAAGTCAGTCCATCACAATTCAGTTAAAGGTCATCCAGTCGGCAGCATGGCAAGCCGCTGACATGAAGAGTGATGAAGACGTCCTCGTTGTCGTCCAGCTGCTCTGTTGTGGCAAGTCATTGGCTTTGGCCTGTGATGGATTCGACTGCAGTTTTGGACAATGTCAGGTCATTCAGGCTCGTCCTAAGCCAAAGATATTCCGGACCAATCAAGGCAGCCCATCTGTGAAGTCATACCGTCACTTAGGCAGTGCATTGAAATTGCTATTTTATAGTAGACATTTTGGGTCCTACGGCCAACTTTACTGTAAAGATAAATACCACATTTAAAGGTTACAGATTAGTTATCACACGAGTGCGAGTGGAACGTAGAATAATGGGGTGTGTCTTTGTCCCGTATACAGGACAACAGGTGCACTACATTATTCTGTGTTCTGTGAGCGTGATAACAAATTTATCTTCAAGCAAACGTGACGCGCTGTAAATATATATTAACGGTATGCTTACGGGATACGTATGCGGCTCAGAAAATTTGGTGGTTTAAATCTTTCTATTGATTATTCTATCCCCACACACTGTAAGCAATAAGCATTTCACATCAATGTGCTCGCGTACACCTAGGTTTTTGAAATATCGGCACAAATCAGTGATAAAACTGTCCAGTTTTTGCGAGTTGCGTATGTGTCTCACATCAGCACCATTTTTAACGGTACAGGTGTAAATTTTAAACAGTAAATTTTGCAGTTGTGCATTTTGCTGTGTTGAGTTAGAACAGCGCATTACACAGGCATTGATATGAACCATGCAGTACAGTTATATATCACACCGTTTGTGTTACCATGGATTGACCAATCAGATTTGAGAATTCAAGTTTGCCTGAAGATAAATGTTCAAATTAACATGTAACATTCAGTAGTTAAGGGGACTCTGATTGTAGAAACTTCATTTTGTCTCCTGCGACTGGAGCCTCAAGACACGAAAACATTTCCAATGCCATTTTCAGTGCCATTCCTCGTCACCTATGATGCAATTTTGCTGTGCCAGAGGGACCTTCAGGTTGTGTGATGATACGTTATATGAACAGTCAAACGTTTAAAATGGGGTGGTTCACTTTGGGTACAAATATTGAATGTAATGTACATTGTTAATACTATAGGGACGTTAGGGCTTATATGCACTGTACCCCTCCAGAATTGTTAGTGGTGTTTCAACTTGTACTTCAGAAGTTTCAAGGTGGTGAAAACCGAAATCTGGCAATGCTAGATTGAAACTAAATTGAATTTCACTACTGACAATAAACCACAAATAAAACTCAAAACTACCATCTTTTTCATATTTTTTTAATTAATCTCCTCTGCTTCGTACAAAGCTCAAGCATGACATGTACTTCACTGGATAAAGTGTCAAGTTACGTTACGTTACGCAGTGTTGATTATTTTGACGTTTTCTACACAGTCATTCTACATAGCAAAAAGACCCTACATGACAAGGTGACTCTCTGTAGGGGGGAAAAAAATTACCAGCATGCAAATTGTTAACTTTGACCTCATGACCTCATGCACATCATCATCGTCATCATTGCACCAACTTTTAAACACTAATTAAGATATCTACATCAATACGGAAAAGACGAAGCAACCACGGGAAACATTTCACCAAACCTATGAAAACAGTGCTCTTGAAAGCAGACAATATGATTTGAAGTATTTATTTTCTTGAAACAAATGCTCCAGGCACAGTTTTTGACCAGATATTTTTCCCAGGGAAGGATTTAAGATACAAGTCATACTGAGATGTCTTTCAAGTTTGTTTTTACATTTCAGAAGCTACCCGGTAAACCTTATTCATTAAATTCTGCGGTTTAATAGAAACAAAAAAATAACAGTGTTGTGGGGACCTTTAGCACCACTCCCCTCATGCTAGACAACAGCAGCTGGGAGACTCACTGATTTGTGTACACATCCACTGAAGGAACAACTGGTGGGTGAATACTGAATTGAAGGCTTCCCGCACCCAATTTCTCTTCTTTGGTGATTATCTATTCACTAATGTCAAAGTACAAGTTTGCCAATGGTAAGTTAAACAGGCAAGACACACGCAGAACAGCATTATGTCACAGTGCGAGCAGAATGAAGGGGAGACTTTTACATGTATAAATAACAATTGAAAACATGAAATGTCACTCAACTTCCATCAATTTGACCCTTTTCTCTCATTCCCATTAGTTAATATGACCTCATTTATGAAAAAATGGGAAACACTGCTGAACGATAAATCTGGAAAAAAGGAGATCTCTCCCCAAGCACCCATAATATGAACAATACAAGCCACTTACATGTATGCACTGTAACAAACATAACCGATCTTCCCTTTTACGTTTAGGGGCACCCAATTCTCGTTCAATGTAATAACTAGTAATGACCTTTCATGAACTGAAGTGTCTGTGGTTTAATTTTCAGCTTAATTCAGCATGTCCCTTGAACGGCAAAATCTTGTGGGATGCTGCTGTGAAAGTGAGTAATGGCATGCAAATAACTGCATAAATTCCAGCTTCTGTTTTGATC